ATAAATACAAATTTTGGTGTTGTATGTGATTCACTGTTGACTATATATGTGTGGTATACATATTTACCCACAAAACAATGTTGTTAAAAAAATACAAACTACATTTACTGTATGAACTTGGTGTATGTCCTTTTCCTTAAGACACTTCAGCACTACAGGCAAATCAAAAAGTGTAGTTTTAAAAGATAGTCTATGATAGTGTATGTGAAAAATAACTTACTGCAATGCTGTATGAAGAAGTACCAGAATCACATAGTAGATTTTTATTTTTCCAATACATTCATTGTAGAGTTGGGCTAAGATTCAATAAAATATGTTCATGTTTTTTTCTGTCCTTTTTTTTCTGACTCAAAATGCTAACCACCTAATTTAAAGACTCTGCTCTTTTCATGATCTGTCATTTCAGGCTCTAATCAGGCTCAGCCATTAAAATCTCACAGCACTTCCCACGAAAGTAATCAACATGATTTGTTAAGTGCTGACACTGGACTCATCTTCATATCAGACACAAACAAAAACAAGAGCAATTTCCAGCTTAAGTATATATGTTCTAATTTCCTGTGTTTTATAAAATTTCACTCTGTTAAATGCAGTCCTAAGCTGTAAGGAAGATATTTTTAGAAGAAATAAAAAAAATGGACTTTAGTATTAAATAAAATTAGTCTTTCATATGTTAATTATTTAACACATTATGATCTGATTGTGTGAAAAGCAATACCAAATCATATGATATTTGCTTTTTTTCCCCCCAGGATATAATATTTCCCTAATTTTGATCTCTGAATTTTCTTTAAGATATCATACAATTTTATTTTACTAATTTTTTCCTTTGTCATCTGAAAGATAAAGAAATTATACGGGGACCTTCACTGCAAATTCCTTGACTGGTTATTCACAGGATGTTAAGTTCAGAGTCCTTTAAAGATGTGCTCTGTATTACAAGTTCTATTAAGTATATGTTACAGAAACATAGAGGCACATCTACACAAAGAGGAGCAGACAGTATCTCTTAGTCCTTTAGTAAATATTTAGGTTGTTATAAATCACTATGATTGAAATTTGAATGACATCTGATGTCGTGATTAAAAAAATTCAAACAAATGCTGAAGAATTTTTGAACCCTAAATATGGGGATTTTGAATCCTACATACAGTTGATTGCTAAGCCACCTAGATTGGATCATTCCTTCTAAAACCAATAACATTGAGGGATTTCATCTAGAATTCCAGGCATTAGAGTCAGAGGAGCTTATCATCTCTCCCTAACAAAAATACCAGCCTTTGATCAGACAAATAGGTCTCCAAATTCCTCAGGGATACATTTAGTTGTCCATACATAGGTACCTAGGTACTGCTATATGAGATGTAGCCCATAGTTTCTGAGACATTTTCACAGGGCTTGCATATTTAAGAAGAGACCTGAGTAGATAATCATGTTTTTGAAGCAGCAAGTGAATGGCATCTCAAACGGTATTAGATTCTTGTGTGGGATGCTGAAGTGCATCCTGGATTTTCAATTACTGTAGTGGGAGCTTAGACACCAAACTCTCACATCAGTGCTTATATTTAGCAATCTAGGTCTAACCAGCTTAAAACATCTACAGTCTGGGCCATATGGGCTTGATCCGTTGTTAGGCATAGGTGTCAGTGTTATCTGAGATGCTCTGTGATGTTCTGACTTACCAAGTTGCTGCTCTGGAAAAGTGCCAGTTTCTTATGAATGCTTGATCCTGCTTTACTGGCTTTATGCAGCAGTTCCTAGTGCATCAAACAGTACTAGGAATCTATGGCTAGGAACCACATCCCTGCTGAGGTTAGTTTTCTCCATGGTTGGTAAAGAAGAGGGATTTTTTGGCTGCATTTTTCTGAGAAGCCTCAGTTCCACATAAATCCTAAATAGCAATTTACATAGTTGGCTGCGTCTAGTCTTTAATCAGTATTTAACACAGGACACTGCTGTCATTTTAACAGATTAACAAAATCAACTACTTCCCAGTTATCATTATTAGGCATACTTGATGTATTTTCAAGGGGTTTTACCTTCTAAGTTTTTCCTGTTAAGAGATAAAAATCCTCACATGGATTATCATGTATCACTGGCTGTAGGGAGTACCTGAGCCTGGTGTTAGTACCAGAGGACAGTGCAAAAGACACCTGCATACAGTGTGATCAGGTGAATGATTTGCTCTGTTTAGTGGCAGAGCTTAAGGAAGAAGCAGAGAGGCTAAGGAGTATTAGGGAGCGTGAAAGGGAATTGACTGGTGGAGTCACACCCTTTCAACCCCAAAAGAAGTTCAGTGGGAGTCAGAGAAGTACTGCTCCTCCTGCCATCAGGCAGATGGAATAGACCCAGTATATGGGGGGAATGGAAAGAGGTCCCTGATCAAAGAGGTAAAAGAATCCCCTCCCAACTCCCATCACCTCCCCAGGTGCCCTACAGAACAAGTATGAGACCCCAGACCCAGAGAGTCAGGCAGATGACACTCAAGAAAAAGATCTGTCTGGAGGGTCTCCTGGTTGCACCCCCTCTATTAGATGGATCACAATCACAGGTATTAAGAAAAAAAAAAGGGTAGTTGTAATTGGTGATTCCCTTCTGAGTGGAACTGAGGGTCCTATATGCTGATCAGAACCATCTCACAGGGAAGTCTACTGCCTTCCCAGGACCAGGGTGAGGGATATTAGCAGGAGACTTCCCAAGACAATTCAACCCTCTTATTATTACCCACTGTTGGTAGTACAGGTTGGCAGTGATGAGATCAATAAAAGACATAGCAGGGCAATTAAAAAGGACTTTAAGACTTTGGGTCAATTAGCTGATGGGACAGGAGCACAAGTGGTGTTCATGTCAATTCCTGAAGGAATGAATGAGGAGAGGAGTAAGGAAAGCCATTTTATCAATAGGTGGCTAAACAATTGGTGCCACAAGTGGATTTTTTTTTTTTTTTTGATCATGGGGCAAAACTTATCGTACAAAGCCTGCTGGAGTCAGATGGGCTTCATCTACCTAGCAAGGGCAAAAGAAACCTGACATATAAGTTGTCAGGGCTGATCAAGAGGGCTTTAAACTAGGTTTGAAGGGGGAAGGGAGTGAAACCAGGCTCTTCAGAGATGAGCCTAGGGGTGGAAAGCCAGAGTTAGAAGTGAAATCAGCAGCCCAACTAGAATGCATGTACACCAATGCACGCAGTATGGGTAACAAACAAGAGGAACTGGAAACCATTGTGCAACAGGAAAGCTGTGATATAGTTGCCGTCACGGAAATGTGATGGGATGACTCGCATGACTGGAATGCTGCAATGGATGGTTACATGCTCTTCAGAAGAGATAGGCAAGGTAAGAGAGGTGGAGGGATGGTTCTATGTGTTAGCGAGTCTCTTGACTCTCTAGAACTTGAAGTCAGTGACAATAAGGTTGAGTGCTTATAGATCAGAATCAGAGGGAAGGCCAACAAGGCCAGCATCCTGGTGGGAGTCTGTTATAGACCACCCGACCAGGATGATGAGGCTGATGAATTATTCAGCAGCATACAAGCAGTTGGTGGAGGTTTCAAAATCACCAGCCCTTGTTCTTGTGTGTGACTTTAACCTGCCGGATGTCTACTGGGAACTTGACATGCAGCAAAGAGGCAGTCTAGGAGATTCCCAGAGTGTGTGGAGGATAATTTCCTGTTGCAGTTGATAAATGAACCTACTGGGGCTGGGGTCTCATTAGACCTGATGTTTACAGAGAAGGGCTGGTGGGAGATGTGGCGATCCAAGGCTGTCTGGGGCACAGTGACCATGAAATGATAGAGTTTTCAATACTTGGAGAAGTAAGGAAGGGCATTAACAAAACCTCTACCCTGGACTTCCAGAGGGCAGGCTTTGACCTATTTAGGAGGCTGGTTTGGAAAGTACCTTGGGAAACCACTCTTATAAACAAAGGGATCCAGGAAAGTTGGGCATACTTCAAGAAAGAAATCTTGAAGGTGCAGGAGTAGGCTGTCCCTATGTGCTGAAAAGTGAGCTGTTGAGGACGACCAGCCTGGTTGAACAGGAAGATTTTGCAGGAAATTAGGGAGAAAAAGAGAGTCTATTGTCTTTAGAAAAAAGGACAGGCTACTCATGAAGTGTTTAGAAATGTAGTTAGGTCATATAGAAAGAAAATTAGAGACGCAAAAGCACAATTTGAACTTAATCTGGCCACTTCTGTTAAGAACAACAAAGAGTGTTTTTATAAATACATCAAGAGCAAAAGGAGGGGCAAGGAAAACCTCCATTCTTTGTTGGACATGGAGGGGAACATAGTTACCAAAGATGGGGATAAGGCTAAGGTACTGAACACCTTCTTTGCCTCAGTTTTAATGAGACAGGTTGTCCTCAGGAACACTGACTTCCTGGGCTGGTAGACAGCAACAGGGAGCCAAATATTCCCCCTGTTATCCAGGAGGAAGAAGTTAGTGACCTTCTGAGCCACTTGGATCCTCATGAGTCTATAGGACTAGATAGGATCCATCCTATGATGATGAGGGAACTGGCAGAAGAGCTTGCCAAGCTGCTCTCCATCATTTATCACCAGTCCTGGTTCACTGGGGAGGTCTCAGATGATTAGAAGTTGGAGAATGTGACACCCATCCAAAAGAAGATCTGGAAGGAAGACCCGGAAAACTACAGGCCTGTCAGCCTGACCTCAGTGACTGGCAAGGTTATGGAGCAGATCATCCTAAGTGCAATCACATAGCACCTACAGGATGGACAAGGGGTCAGACCCAGCCAACATTAGGAAGAGCAGGTCCTGCCTGACCAATCTGATCTCCTTTTATAACCAGGTGACCCACCTGGTGGATGAGGGGAAGGCTGTGGATGTAGTCTGACTGGACTTCAGCAAGGCTTTTGACACCCTCTCCCACAGCATACTCCTGGAAAAGCTGGCAGCCCACGGCTTGGACAGGGGCACTCTGTGCTGGGTTAGGAACTGGCTGGAGGGTCAGACCCAGAGAGTGGTGGGGAATGGTGCTGCATCCAGTTGGCAGCTGGTCACTAGTGGTGTCCCCCAGGGATCAGTGTTGGGGGACTGATATCCCCCAGGGATCAGTCCTTCTTAATATCTTTATTGGTGTTTTGGATGAGGGAATTGAGTCCACTATTAGCAAATTTGCAGATGACACTAAGTTGGGGGGGGAGTATCAGTCTACTGGAGGGTGGAAAGACCTGCTGGATATGTGGGCTGAATCCAATGGTATGATGTTTAACACAACCAAGTGCTGAGTCCTGCAATTTGGCCACAACAACTCCATGCAGCGCTACAGGTTGGGCACAGATTGGTTGAAGAGTGATCAAGCAGAGAGGGACCTGGGTATTCTAATCAACAGGAAGCTGAACATGAGCCAGCAGTGTGCCCAGGGGGCCAAGAAGGCCAATGGCATCCTGGCCTGGATCGGGAGTAGTGTGTCAGCACGAGTTAGGCCACACCTTGAGTAGTGTGTCCAGTTCTGGGCCCCTCAGTTGGGGAAGGACACTGAGGTGCTGGAGAGCGTTCAAAGAACGACAATGAGGCTGGTAAAGGGACTGGAGCACAGGCCCTATGAGGAGAGGCTGAGGGAGCTGGGGTTGTTTAGCCTGGAGAAGAGGAGGCTCAGGGGAGACCTCATCAATCTCTACAACTCCCTGAAAGGAGGTTGTAGCCAGGTGGACATCGGTCTCTTCTCCCAGGCAACCAACAGTAGGACAAGAGGGCACAGTTTTAATCTGTGTCAGGGGAGGTTTTGGTTAGACATTAGAAAGAAATTCTTTACAGAGAGAGTGATCAGACATTGGAACGGGTTGACCAGGGAGGTGGTGGAGTCACCATCCTAAATACCATCTTAAATACCTGGAGGTATTTAGGAAGAGAGTGGATGTGACACTTGGTGTCATGGTCTAGTTGACAGGCTGTAGGGTTATGGGTTGAACTTGATGATCTGAGAGGCCTTTTCCAACCTAGTTCATTCTGTGATTCTATGAACTTCTACTTAGGAATATTTTCTCATTTTTTCATGTTATCAGTTACTCTTTGAATTTAGTAGAAATATGTTGATTTCTCAATGAAAAGGTAGACTAAGTTTTTAGATCTTTTTTATCTTTTGTTTGCATTAAATTCAGCTGTTAATTTTTTATCAATATTTTCACACTTATGGTTACTCAACTCATCTTAATGCCACAGTAACACCCTGTTGCGTAATTTTCAGAAAAAATAATAGAAAAAACAAAATCTAAAAATTTTCTTACTGAAGAAAACAAGGTTCAGCTCACTTATGATGATATAATTCAAAAGGATAGCAGAGTCCCCATCATGGTATTCCTTTATAGTTTTTCTTTTGTGATTCCTCAAGTGCTTTTCCGTTATCTTTCAGAATGTTTTTTGGATGTCAAAGTTATAGCAAAGCAACACTGTACAAAAATGGTGAGTGATCTATAGATAACTAATGAAATATATTACAGATAAAAATATACTGCATTTATGTATCAGTGTTCTTTATGTATCAGTTTAAGAAGGATGGGCCTGAGCCATTCTGTTATTAAGTTCTCCAAAGCACTCAACAAAGTCCATTTAATGTGTTCTTTGAATCTTTATCATGTACAAAGTATATGTACTACTGACACTTTTTGATACCTTTTATTAATGTCGTGCAATGATCGGTACTAGAGTGGAATCTGCAGCATGAAGCGTGGTAATTTATTTAAAACAGCATTTTAGAAATTTTAACAGAACTTCAAATATATTTGATGATCATTAAAATATAGGTGAAAATCATCCCAGTCATAAGTAATTAACAACTATACTACTATATAAATTGTCATCATTGCCTTGACCTTTATTTAGCACAAAATAGCACTAATTCAAAGCTTGAAATTGTTTTATATGCACTGTTTTTTTCACTTATTTTTCCTTTAGCTACAATTCGTTTAAAAAAGTTCAGAAACACAGACCATTTAAAAGATGTTCCTTATCTTTCTTTCTTTTTAAATTACAAAGTAGCAATATATGTGATTCAAATATATTATAGCAATACTGGACATTATTTTCTCTTGTAAGTATAGATGACAATTGTTGGGGTTTTTTAGGGGTTTTTTTATGTTAATAATTTCCCTATTGATGATTAAAAGACACTTTCAAAGATCTGTTGCTTATTAGCATTTCCATAGATTCCATGAATTCATTTCCATAATTGTAAAATTAGTTGCTATATCTAAGAAAAAAGTAATATATTTGTCTTGTGTCTGGATCTCTAATTCAGTGGCCTCCGATGAATCATTGCAACACTTACATTGAATGTCTTCAGACAGGCACATTTTTGGACAACTTTCCGTAGCCTAATCCATATTGCCAGCTGCATGGTTTCTTCCTCTCTCAAGAAATATTATTTCTTGGTCAGTCTCCTGGGAATATATACTGCTTCTACTCTCAGAGATTTTCAAGACCCAAACAGATGAAGCCCCAGCAACCTGGTCTAACTTTATAGCTGACCCTGCTTCAAGTAAAGGTTGGACTAGAGACTTCCATATATCACTTCCAACCCAAAGTACTCAATGTTCCAATGAATAAGTGAGTGGTCTTGGAAATTGTTATCTAGTTCTTTTATCACTAACTTGTCTTTAGAGAGCATTAAAGAGATTATAGCATTCTTTACCGAAGTCTTGATTCATGAAATATTTCTTATACTTTTTGCAATTTATGTTAAATGACCACTGGAAGCAAACTTGTCTCCTACGTATTATTTTCCTTATCACATCAGGTCCTATATATTGTGCATAACCCACTTTCTTAAATGGTATTATTCAGTTTTTTAAAATGGGTTTATACTTTTTTTCATATTTATTACTCAGAACTACAATACTTTCAGGGACTAAACATGATCAAGCAAGTTTCATGGGTCTTTTCATTTTGTCCTCCCTGTGTCAATATTTACTATAATTCTTTCATAATTTTATAGATTGAAATTTAACATCCACAAAAATTCTGCTGATTATAGCAATAGTAGATTATTAGTACCATTGAATTCATGTTCATTCAGCTCAACATTTCTTACATATATATCTGTTAAATATTAAGTCAAGACCTGCTCCAAATTTACTCTTGAATATGTTATAGAAGTTAGGGATCAGTTTCACTTTTACTAATTTGTTACTTCCCTTAATTCTTTTCACTTAGCTCAGGACAATAATTGACATTGTGAAACTGCAGCTATAAAGACAAACAAGATCATCAAATTGCACATTAACACACTCAGATGAAGGGTCTTGTCACTGTGTTCGAAGTCACCAGCTCCTAATCAGTTGTAAACTGTGATGGTTGTATAGGAAGCTGGCGAGGACCACAGAGCCTGGGTACAAATAGAAGCCAGGAAATGGGCTGCGATGATGAAAGATACCTTCTTCTTCCCATGTTACTATAGGAAGGAGCAACATGACTCCGCAGTTTCCTTTACACTGGCATATCACAAAGTGATGTGATAATATTTGATAAAGGTGAATAATACATATTCAGGATGAAAGCATAGTTCTAACCAGGAAAAGAATAAATTATGTTTTGTACTCAGTTAATTTGTGGTCAGTTAGTACTGACAGTAGAACCAATGATATTAGATTGCTTTTTTGTAAATTTTTTTTGGCCATTTAGGTAGATAACTGAGTTTAAATTACTGCATGAATTTTACTTAGTCTTTTTCCTTTTCTCATTCCTTTCTTTTTCCAGTTTGTTCTTTCTAATTAAACTTCATATACTTGCTGTAAAAGCCAGAAAGAATAAACTGCAAGCATATTCATAGGTTTCCCACAGGAAAAAAGAAAAAGAAGAAAAAAAAGTAGCTTTATCTGTCACATCAGAAGCTTTAAAAAGCCTAGACATTTTATAATTCCCATGCACTCTTAATCTACTTTGTGCATATTACACACTTAGATTTTTCTAAATTTATTGTAATTAGACCTATGTATTACAAAGGGACTACTCATATTGCTCCTACCTAATCTCTAATTTATATGCAGAAGAGTAAAGCTAAAGAGTTTAAGATTTTCACATTTAATGTTCTTTTTACCTAATCAAGTTATACAGCTTAGTAGCTTCCTTCCCTGTGGTTCACAGTGCCTCTCTTTTTTTTTTTTTTTTTTAATAAATCAACATATTCCTAGGAAGGCATTAATGCTACTTCTGTAACCTTTCTCTATTCACTGAGTGTTCTCTGGGGATACAGTAAGTCATCACTCAGAAATAAATGTTGCATGAGTAACCCCTTATAAATAATCAGTTTATAGTTGAAGAACTAGTGAATCCAGATTATGTTTAAATGAAATTGCACTCACTTTGTGTTGTCCTCCATTCTTCTCTCAAAACAGTATTAAAATTTTGACTACAAAGGCTGTGGGAGATGTGTGTAAGTAAAACTGGATTAACTTTGTGAACTCCTTCACAGAATCAAGGCTTTGTCACCAGAATTGGTTCTGATGGTCCAAGAGGCTAATTTAAACACAGCATATCCCACTGAATCATTTTGACAAAATATCCCCCATCAGCAACTCACGTGATCATTTAGTAAAAAGCATAATTTCCTACTGACTGGTTATAATAATTACTGACATGAATTCTCAAAATAAAAGTGCTGCTTATCTACTTTCTTTACCTTAAAATATTACACTCAGAAACATATAGTACAATGTCTGTAAAGATAGCTTTAAGTTTGAAAACAAATAAATAAGCCCAAGTTATCATTAGTTAATTAATTTTGGGTTATTAAAAAAAAAAATGCTTTTATTTCTTATTTGGCTTCAGATGTTTGGTGCTTCCTCATCAGATTGAACTATTTTTCCTTTTTTTTCTTCTGAAAACACTAACAAAAATCATACCATGTTTAGACATGTTTTTCTTCTCAACTGAGTGGCAAATATTCTATATACAAGATAACTGAATTCCTGATTTTTTTTTTTTCAGAAAGAAAGAATTTTACAAAGACCATTATCAAGTTGTCATCTGTCATCTTTCCTATATGTATAATTTGACATCCTCTCTTCAGTGTTAGATTTAGGCTTCGTTCTTTGTTTGTTCACTGCTTATATTTATGGTCTTGAGAAAGATACATAGGATATTTATGGAACATTAACTTTATGGAAAATGGTTCAAGGCAGTAGCATTTGGAGGATTAAGTAAGAACAGAGG